CCTCTGTGCCAACAGCTGCTTCATACTTACCCCATGTGAGGGATAAGTCATCCAGCCCCAGTCCCCTGGGATTGTTGATGTGTCCAGCAAGTTCACTAGAAAACACAGGAGCAAAAGGCTGTGTTAGAAAGCTTTGTCCCCATCCCCAAGGGGTGAGGAACTGAGCCACCACAAACCCCTCCTCACATGCCACTTGGTGGAATGTCCCCTCACCCATCAATCTGCTGCCAGGGACCTGCCTGGCTGGATATGAGGTATGGAGTGAGGGTGATGATGCTCCCCAGAGCTGGTGAGTCAGCAGAGTTGAGTCCTGACCACAGGACTGAGAGCAGTGGGACCTTTTGGAGGAGAGGGGGCTGCAAACAGCAGGTCAGAGGGGATGCGAAGCAAGGGGAGCTGGGGGAAACATACTCCAAGCACCAGTTTGTCCACCACTTCCACTCTGGGCCAACACTGATGCAACTGGAGCATCATTCCTCTCTGGGACACTTCTCCTCTGGGAGCCCTTTAGGCTCAGCTCCCTCCCAGCGTCACTGGTTTGAAGTCTGCACTCCAGCAGCTGCTGTAATTGCACACTGCAGTGCCCATCTCCAGCACAAAGTGACCCCCCATGGGCCTGGCTGACACCCCACTGCAGAGGACCATCAAAGCCAGCCCTCCCAAATCCCTGCCACCACTGGGAGCTTGGCTTAATGAGAGACACAGCCACACTGCATGGGGAGGGGAGCAGCTCTGCTGGGGAGAGGTGAGGATGCCTTTGAACATGCTCAGGAGCTTCCTGTGGAAACCTGGCAGAAAGCAGGATGTCACAGCTGTGCTCTGAGGCATCCCAGCCCCACAGCCAGATCCACAGCACCAGGCAGAGGAAAGCCTTGCTGCTGCCCAGTAACCCCTGGACTTGCTCAGCACCTAGGGAATGACCCCAAGCCTGAGTGCAGATCCAGAGGGATGGAGGCTTGGGAGAGGATGCCAGCAAGGTGTCCTGACCCTTGGGAGTGAGTGCAGCAGGCACCAACACCAGTGCAGCAGTACCTCATCACCCCTCACCAGCACCAGCCTCCCTCAGGGCCCCTGAGTGCCTCCAGCTTTTCTCAGTGCTCTTTGTCCCAGAAAGGTCAGTCTCACTTGGGATGCTGCTTCCATCCTGTCTGCCTTTCCTCACCCTCGAGCAGCATCACACTCCACCTTGAGGCACCTTGGCACAGCATCCCTCTGCAGCATCAGGTCTGGGCATCACACTGCACCTCAAGGCACCTGGGCAGAGCATCCCTCTGCAACACCAGGTCTGGGCTGGTCCCTGGACACCAGAGGGATTCTGCATCCATGCTGGCTGCCTTTCCTCACCCTTGAGCAGCAATAAAATGGACCTCAAGGCACCTGGGCACAGCATCCCCATACAGCACCAGGTCTGGACTGGTCCCAGAAGTCAGCACCAGGCAGAGGAAAGCCTTGGCTCTTCCCAATAACCTCTGGAATTGCTCAACACCCTGGGAAGGACTCCAAGCCCCAGAGTGCAGATCTAGAGGGATGAAGGCTTGGGAGAGGATGCTAGCAAGGTGTTCCAGTAATCTTTGTCCCAGTAAGGTCAGTCCCACTCAGGATGCTACATCCATGCTGGCTGCCTTTCCTCACCATCAAGCAGCATCACACTGGGCCTCGAGGCACCTGGGCACAGCCTCCCTCTGCAGCACCAGGTCTGGGCATCACAAGGGACCTCAAGGCACTTGGGCACAGCCTCCTTCTGCAGCACCAGGTCTGGGCATCACACTGGACCTCAAGGCACCTGGGCACAGCATCCATCCCTCTGCAGCACCAGGTCTCGGCTGGTCCCTGTGCTCTGGAGGGATGATGGACTTGGTGCAAGGACCAGCTTGTCACAGCAGGGATGGGGCACATCAGGACAGCAGCCCCAGCCCTGGCAGAGCCTGTGCTCAGCATGAGGCTGGTCCCTGCAGTCTGAGGAACGGGTGCCACTTCCATTTACTATTACCAGGCAGGGAAGGAGAGGTGGGGAGAGAGGAGCAGAGACGTGAGCTGGCTGTGAAACACCCGGACGTCATGCTCCTGACAGAGCAGATTAGGAGCTTTTGAGGCATTTATTAATGTTAGCAGAACAATTTGAAAGAATTTCCAGGCTTTCTTGTGTGACTCCATTGGCCCAACAGCAGGCCAAGCCCCTCCACTCCCCGCACGGTGCTGCTCCCACTGCTAAAGAGGCCCCTTGCCCTCAGCACGGAGTAATTACCTCGGAGATCTCAAATCCATTTTTATTTGTTATTGTTAATCTGAAGATTTTCTGCCTATTTTCCCTGGGTAATTCGCCCAGCAGGAGCCCAGGCTTGGGAGTTTCCCTGCTCACAGCGCAGGAGCACGGTCCCGGTGACCCTCAGCAGGCAGGTTGCAGGGAGGGGAGTGCTTTTTGCAGACCCTCTCTCCCCCCCACCGGGGTCTCTGCACCCTCTTTCCCACGCTGAGATGCTCAGTGATGGATGTGGCTGCATCCCACTGCTCCCCTGGAGGAGTCTGCATGGACTGGGGTCCAGCAGGAGCATCCTGCCTTAGGGGACAACCCTGACACTGCACACTGGGAGGTACCCCAGGCTTGTCTGCACAGAGGTGTGTGATGGAGCCCCAGCCCACCACACCTACCATGTAGCTATCACCCAACCTCAGAGAGATGAAGGACTCATCCCCTTGTGGGTGCCTTGGTGCTCAAACAGGTTCACCAGCTTACATCCCTGTGTTTCCCCTATGGTCAGCTCTGCATCCCACCATGGTCAGTCCTGCATTCCACCATGGTCAGTCCTGCATCCCACCATGGTCAGCCCTGCATCCCATCCATGGTCAGCCCTGCATCCCACCCATCATCAGCCCTGCATCCCATCCATGGTCAGCCCTGCATCCCACCCATCATCAGCCCTGCATCCCATCCATGGTCAGCCCTGCATCCCACCCATCATCAGCCCTGCATCCCATCCATGGTCAGCCCTGCATCCCACCCATCATCAGCCCTGCATCCCATCCATGGTCAGCCCTGCATCCCACCCATCATCAGCCCTGCAGCCTTGGTCAGTCCTGCATCCAGTCCATGGTCAGCCCTGCATCCCACTCATGGTCAGCCCTGCATCCCACCTGTGGTCAGCCCTGCATCCCACCTGTAGTCAGCCCTGCATCCCAACCATGGCCAGCCCTGCATCCCACCATGGCCAGCCCTGCATCCCACTCATGGTCAGCCCTGCATCCAGTCCATGGTCAGCCCTGCATCCAGTCTATGGTCAGCCCTGCATCCCACCATGGTGGGTTTCCTCATGCCTGTTTGCAGGAAGAGGGCTAAGTTATTTCTTTTATTCCCTCCCAAGCATTTCAGCCAAGTGCACAGGAGCCCTGAACATTTAGCCCACCACGATGGGCACCACAGTGACATAAGGGCACTGCAGAGACATAAGGGCACTGTGTACCCGAGAGCTCTTACATTAGCTCATGGAATAGCACACAGAGGCTGTGGATATGGATCCAGCAGCACTGTGACAGGCTCTGCTGGGCTATGGGGCCACCAACCCCCCTCCCCAAACCCAACTGGTTACACATGAGGCTCCAGCCCAATGCCAACAAGTGCCCACCCAGCCCCTTGCAGGTGACCTCCTGGCTGTGTCTCTCCTCTGGGGGTGATACTCAGCCCAGAGGCTGAGTGAGACCACCACAAAGGCCTCCATTCAGCTGAAAGGTTTTCTCAGCAAACATACTGGTTTGGGAGCCCTCTCTCCTACAGCTGGGCAATTCTGTTTGATGTTATGGACTGTCTGCATGGATCAGGCTCAAACTGCGAGCTCCATTTTGTTTGCCTGAGCACCATTTTGTACTTTCCCTATTCTGTGCCTTGGCCTTGCCTCGGTGTATTGAGCCAAAACACCAGGAGGTGTCAGGGGAAATTCTCACCCTGGTGGAAAAGCTGTCAAGCCTGATTGCCTGCTCAGATGGAAGCACCTAGGAGGGAGCAGGTCACTCCCCAGCACCGACCGGGGGCTGGGGACAGAGCCTCACATCAGGCAGAACCTTCTGCTCCTTTCAAAAGTTGCCCTGTGTGATGGGGCATGAGTAGTGCACATTGCAGCCTTGGAGAGACAGATTAGGCAGGAGTCAGGGCCAAGGTGTATGACTCTGTCTATGATGTGTATGTAGAATGTATTGATATAGGTATACATGGTTATTTTGGGGTCTATATCTGTAGCCATATCCATATCTGTATCCATGCACATGTCTACCAAACTCTAAACATTGCTTGGGATGGGTGAGGACATTGAGGCAGGGACTAGCACCCAGAGGATGTGCATTTTGCCTGGGACAGTAGGTGTCTTGCCATATATCTATAACTTAGATCTGTGTCTATATTTATATGTATCATCTATATCTTTATACATGTCTACATCTGTATCTGCATCTACATCTGTATCTATAAATCTACATCTATATCTATATCCTACATCTATATCTCTCTTTCCATATATACACCTATATTTCTATATCTATACATCTATATCTTTATCTCTACATCTATTTCTGTATCTCTACATCTATGTCTCTATATCTCTACATCTATATCTGTATCTATAGCTACAGCTATATCTATCTATCTACATCTATATCTCTATCTCTACTTCTATATCTGTATCTACATCTATGTCTGTATCTCTTCATCTATATCTGTATCTCTAACTATATCTACATCTATATCTCTTCATCTATATCACCTCTAAAGAGTGAGGGCTCAGATCCCTTTCCCAACACTTGCTCTGGTGGCTGCAGCTCCTGCAGGGATGTATTGCATCCCTACAAACAGCCCCTTGAGCACCTTGGGGTCCCTCATCCAAGCATCCCATGCTCAGGAACGGGCTCATGATATCCATAGGAGCCTGTGGACCTTCAGCCCACCCAGGGCTGCGTGGTGTGGTGATGGGACAAGGCAGGGACACACACTGGGGGATGTGCTGAGCCCCAGGCTCTGGAAGAGCAATGGGGGACCAAAGAGGCTCTGAGCACCCTCACTAATCGTTAACCCGCTGCAGTCCTCCCACTAATTACTCCACCATCTCCCTCC